GTTCTAAAATGAATTCTTCAACTGAGTAAACAGAAGCGAACCTTCCCTCGGCCAATTTTCAAAGCGCGCGGGTTTTGTGCAACTGCTCTCGCATGACGTTCTCTTCAGTACGTTCATTCATCATTAGTGAAATTTCGTCGTTCGCGTTGCTGATTGGACGAGCGATAATTTTTCACGATGAAATTTTGTCGTTCGTACTCCTGATTGGCTACATTTAGAATCAGTACGAATTTTATTCACTACGATTTTTGTGGGTAAATCTCAGTACCTATGAAATAAACTTACTTATTCGCAACAGAATCAATATATGATTGGCGTCACACAAAGCTGATTAACGCCGCTGAAGGTTCGTATATAAACTTTGTACATGTACTTTGCCCCTAATTATCAAAAACACGTGGAAAGTTCAATCACTCTTTTTCAACCTCGTTCTCAAGTTGCTACCATACTTATAGTAATTTGCATCACAACTGGTTCTCCCTCTTCCTCTTCTCTACGAGAATTGAATTGAGAATTTTCATGAGAACCGGAGAAGAAGATAGAAGTCAAATCTTTATTCCAAGAGGTCGCTTTTCGAATTCTGGTGAGTCAACATCAAGGTTTTTTTATGAAAGGAGCAGCACACGTTTCCTCAGACCTGTGCTTGTTCTGCTCTTTTGTTCTTGACCATGAAGTGCGGACCCACAACTCAAAGGTTTTAGACCGTTTTATGACGAAGACTGAGTATAATAAAATAATTTATTTCCACGTTTCCAGTTCGCTTACAGTTTGTGGAGGCCGGAGAATGAGAAATTTTACAATTTACATTTTAGTGTTTGCCTTAAATGAGAAAATGATGATTCACCGCTCTCAATGAATTTTGAAGCTAGAAATGCCAGATGGAACAGGTGAATTCGCTCAATAGAAGGTCATAATTAGCGTCTTCTTGTCTTTCGCACGCTCTTTCCGGGTCAGAGCACTGAAACAGGTTATGCAACGTGGTCTTTAGTTTCCGATGTCACAAGATAATTTGGTATTTAACAGTTATTCGCCGGGATTATTCAACAGCATTCGCTGCTGCTGACACGTCATTCGACTTTTGCGCCACTCTGACAGGTTGATGAAAGAATAGTAAATCGTTCACCGTTCTCAATCCAAGGTCCTTTGTCGAAATTTCTCGGATTATGGCTGCTAAAACCCTGAAAAATTTGTATCGCTCACAAATAATGACGTTCAAAATTTCCCAGAAGCGGAAGAAAAAAGCAACCGAAAGTTTGGTATTTAGTGGCTTTGGCTTTCTTCTCAGCCGCTTTTCTCGCGGCTGAGAAGAAAAATCGACAGGTGGAAAATTTGCCATTGGCCGATTTTGGCCGTGTAACTAGCAAATTGAAAGTTATGCCCATCGTTTGTTTTTGTACTGATTCAAAGCCTTTTTTCATCTTGAGCCTTATCGCCGAAAATTGCCGACGTGCTTTGCGACTTTTTTACGTGGATTGTGGATCCTATGTTTTTAATTTATTAATAAAGTCGACTTTTCTTGCCAGTAAAGGCCTACTGTGTTTATATAAAAGACAATCGAATACATGGTTTCTTGCAGATATGTAATCAGCTCCCTTCTTGTGTTCAAATCGATATCTGACTCGTGAGCTATCGAGTTGAACACTTAAGGAGAAATTCCATATCTTCTCGTGCCCATGTATTATTCTCTATTTATCAACCTACAGAAATGATAAGGGGAATTTGCAACCGTAAAGGGATTCTACAGCTGGCGTTTCAGAGGCAATCCACTCTTATGAATAACTAACGCTCGCAAGGTCAGATTTAGAACATCTCTACGGTGGCCAATTCATGTCATTTTAATTAATGAAGCCAAATTATCATGTAATACTCCCCATTGACGCAGCATAAGAGTTTCTTTAGAAACTCGCCCCCTTTATTCGTTTATGTTGACAGTCATATTTGTTTAATTGGCCCAGGAATTTTTAAAGGGTGACGAAACTTAATTCCAGCGTGACATACAGGAATGAAGGAACGGGAGGTCATCTAACTATTGAAAGTGAAGGTAAGAACTGATAGAAATGTGTGTCCCTGTCATCAACAGCTGATCGATTATGATGTTCTTCGAGAGTTAGCATGGTTGGATTTCTAATACAAACAGAGCCTTTACGAGCTGCATATTTAAACTAGCTAAAAGCTGACACAGCGAAGGCGAGGAAAACAATCATTCATTGTGCCACATCGCAATGAAGGTTTTTTTCTCTCTCTGTTTTATCATTTTGTGTGTTTTGTTTGTCTTTGTTTGTTTCGTTTTTCTCTCCTTTTTTAAGGCCCATATTTCGGAACATTTGCTTGCTAAGAAAAAATCCCACTGCTGCTCATGGAAAAAAATCACAACGTACGAGTGATTGCTTTGAATTTATCAGGCGACTTTACGCTGATATCTGCATGAGTTAATACAATGACGGCCTTGTCCATACGGGCAGGAGAATGATATTGGCTTTTTTTGATATGTTTTTTTATGGTATATCTTTACCTATTAGAACATTTGTCACATGATAATGAGCGGAAGCATCAGTAGGGTGGAAAATGGACCAGTCAGGTATGCACATATTTTTACAAAGAAAATGGCGAATTCGACACTAAACGTTACTCGCTGCAACAATCTGTGGAAGACCCGCATGGGACTACGAACAGCGAGGAAATACAAAATATTGGTAGTTATCGATGCCCTCTTTCCAAAAACGGAGAGGAAAACCTGTCCATCTATCATCAGTTTGTAGTGATTAAAACAACTAATTGGTATTGTTCGATCTGAAAGGATTCAGAAAAAATTCTCCTGCAAAGGTCTAAAGCAAAGGATTGTGTAGAGAAGTGTAAAGAGGGTCAAGCTAGGTATACACCAGTAAAGATGATTGTTGAAATCGAGGGAGAAGGAGCTATGAGAGATTTGATTAAGTTTATTTGTGAAAATGAACTTAAAAATTTTGTTTAGCGATAATTGTCAACATTTCTCAGAAAGGTTGTTTAACTAATTTAAAAAGCCAAGCCAAGACACGAGACGCCCAAATTCCACTGCCGTACCAGCCGGCGTTGGTATCACTGTTGTTTTGTTGGCATACGTTTGGGCAAAAAAGTGAAAATAGCTCACCAAAAAAATAATCACCAAATTGTATAGACTGTGGTCATCTCTAGTTTACAAAAGCGATTTAGGATCGACAGCTGATCATTTTTTAACGAAGTTAATTAAGTCATTATTGGTACGGATTTTCATCATGTTGTTTTTCTCTGCTCATTAGCTACCACTGCTAGTGAATCAAAGGTCCATAAGTGATCTGATTTGGGCTACTCTCATTGCTGCCTCTAGGCGCAGCCTTCTTCGCTGGCCTTATGCACCTGTTCCTTGAACGCCCTTTTCTCGTCTCTCCCTGTGGATTCCACCTCCGCTCAAGCTATGTCCCTTTAGTATTTGGTTTCCCGAAGTTGTTCGCAATCAAATCGAACTTGCACCCTCATAGTAATTGCGATTATGAATTTGTCGTGACTGAAAAGACTTGCTGGTGTATTAAACATGTCTCCCGAAGAAAATTCTCACTCAAAGAGGCTCTGCAAACTTGTTTCACTTTGTATGTTATTTTTTTCCGTACAAATTAATACTTCTTCAGATTTTATGGATAGAAATGTAGAGGCACAGACGTTTTGTGAACATGACGGTTGTGGTAGCCATATTGCTTGAATTCTCTTCATACGAACGTTAAGCGGAAGGAGGACATAAATTGTCGTGCTGGCTGTGCCCTCTTACCCCCCCCCCCCCTTTCACAACGCCTATTTGCCTAAAATATCGTTAACGCCGCATCAATAAAGGCCAATCTCTAACTCTAACAATATCTACAAAGGCCACTTGCTTTATAAATAGATGTTGGATAGAATGATGCAGCGTCAAGATAGCAGTTTTACCCCGCACACCATCAGTTAAAATACTTTTGTCCCAAATGCGTCAGGTTACAAATACCAGAACTACAGCCGAAGTTTTTAAATAACACCTGTCACCGAACGCTATTTGTAAAGGCCCAGAAACTGTTGCGTTAAGGTTTTCTTCAAAATTATGCGGGGCATATATTTTTTCTGTTCCGCTCCGACTAAAGAACTATCTCAAAGCACATGAAGCAGGGTAGTCACAACTTTCTTGTTATTATTATCTTTATCAACGAACTACCCAAAGGGACATTTTGATCAGTGGAGGTATATGCTTGAACTTGTGTTTGATAAGTCCCCCCCCTCCTTATTGAATGAACTTTAATTGCACTTCAGGTCATCTAAAGACTTCGTTGCCCCATGAAGATAAAAAGCATTAATCTCCCCTTCATCGCCTTGCAACTACTATATTAAAATGGATACTATCTTTTTTATTACTATTATTTTTCCAAGGCTTCGTAGCAGCACGAAGTAAGATATCGCTTTGATGAACCAAAGTCAGATGTTACCATCTCACTTTGCTACACTATTTATTGCATTATTTCATTTTATTTCTCATATACAACTGGCAATGGATGATGTTTCATCCGAAACATGTTTTGTTTTCATTGAAAAATACAAGAAGAATGATTTTCAAAAGCATCGTGGTGTTCATCAAACACCATTTTTCTTATTGTTATTTACAATACTTGATACCGGAAGATACGGAGAAAAACTCACAAAGGTTAAAAAACGATTTTCTGAAGGGGAAAATTTGATTGATGAGTGGAGTGTGGAGTTTAACAGTCAGCCATCAAAGGACTTAAAATATCAACGTCAGCCGTCAAAAGCATATATGTTTACCGTCAACCGTCAAAAACTCAAATCAATTCCAACCGTCAAACAACTCAAAGAACATCTCTACTTAAGCCGCCTGCTAACAAAATTTTTAGAAACTTAAGAATGGTAAATCAGTCCTACAAAAACATGCTCAGCCTACTTCATTTTCACTGATTTCTGCCTCTAAAGACAGTTTGAATAAACATTTTTATATTTTACTCAATAGTTTAACGTTGAAAAATAGCTGGCTTCATTTATAATTTGTCTTTGTACACGCCGCTACGCACCATTCCTGCCTTTCGAAAAAATCACAACTGAGATCTTGCTCACTCAAGTGTCTTGAAAACTGTCGTGAAATGCCTCATTCGCCATCATCTTGATGACTTTCTCGAGATCAAAGATGTTTTTGTCTTTGATCTATTAATTTAATTAATTAATTTGATTTATTAATTTAATATGCTAAAAAAGTAGGTGAAGGACTCATGTTTCAATCGAGTGAAAGATAGTCCTAAAAGAGCGCCAGATACTAACGAAACAATCCATTGAAAGAGAATCCTAAAAAAACGCATGAGATTCTAACGGACTAACGAAACAATTTCTATGAAAGAGAATATGAAAAGTGTGCGAGATAAATACGTAACAATCAAACGAAAGGGAATTCTAAAAATGCACAAGATACTAACGTAACAATCCGATGAGAGAGAATCCTGAAAGCCCACGACATATCAACGTAACAATCTAGTAAAAGAGAATCCTAAAAGTGCTTGAGATATTAACGTAACAATCCAATGAAAGAGAATTGCGAAAAAGCGCAAAACGTTGACGTAGCCATCCAATAAAAGAGAATCTCAAAAGTACTCGATTTATTAACGCAATAATCCAATAAAAGACAATTTAAAAGTGTGCGAGATACTGACGTAACATCCAATGGAAGAAAATCGTAAAAATGCGTAAGATATACTATCGTAACAGTCATTATTCTTATACTGAAAAAGGACACAATACCTTAAATAGAGAATAATTACTGACCCTCATAAAATCCTATTGTTCTCTCTCAGCATTATATCGGCGATTTCAGCCTGAGAAAGTATTCATATTCAGTCAAGTCCAACTGTCTGAGGAAAACGGTGGCGGTCCTTTTTGGTAGCAGGGAAATTATCAGGGGTAATCCTAAACGCGCTAAAACGTTCAATATTGCAGTGGGCTGGCTGCACTGCAATATTTTTAATAATGCAGCCTGCTTCCAGCAATATTTTTAATATTGCTGCATGACTGTGGTATTTACTTCGTTACTTTTCCACTCAGTAATTTTTGAAAATTCGCGAATGTCCGCACATAATTTATGATGAAGATCTGAAGTTAAAAAGTAAATGAATACACCATGAGAAGTACCATTCCAGGAGACGTACAGACGAAAACATTTTACAGTCTATTTAGGGCACATCTGACAATGACAGTCTTTCTCACTTGTAAGAAATAACAATTTTCGTACTGTGAGTACTAATTACAACTGACTGATTATAATCTTCGCTCTGGTTTTCGTCTAAAACCTTTTCGCTTAAACCTCTGGCTCTGCGTTATGAAAATGGCAGATTCGTCTTCCGAAGAATCCTCCATCAAGCTTCAAAACAGTAGCAACTCTTTGCCTTCCAACAAACAACTCAAATAACCAAGTGCATTGCGTTAATATACAATGCAAATTACGTTTGCATGAAATTCAATCACACACCTGAAAGATGTGGAAAGTTACATAATCTTTACAAGGATTTAACAATGACTAAATTCCGGGAAATGAAAAGGGTTATGTAATTTGTATAACTACTAGACAATACGTGCTAATTGCATTGTTGGAGAGAGAAAATAGTAGGATTTCATGAGAGTCAATGATTATATCATCTTTGCAAGTAGTTAACAATGGCTGAATTGGGGAATGAAAAAGGATTATGCAATTTGTATTATTACTGGACAATGCTTGCCAGTTGCATTGTTGGTGTACCAAAACATCAATATGAAGGGGCGACTGAAATCGTCGATGTAATGCAGAGAGAGAACAATAGGATTTTATGAGGGTCAATAATTATAATAGTTAATTACTTCGGTTCGCTGCATTATTGGGTATAATGCTGCGAACCTCAGTAATTATCTATTAAATAATACATTGACGCGCGTAGATATGGAATTTCTCTTGGAGTATTTAACTCGATACCTCAGAGTGAGCGCAGCGAACGAGTGAGATGTCGAGTTGAACACGAGAAGAGAAATTCCATATCTACCAGCAACCATGTATTATTTTCTTTATCATATAAACACAATAGCCCTTTACTGAGAAGAAAAGCCGACTTCATCAATGAATGAAAATAAATGAATCGACAATCCCCGAATAACAATCGTAGAGTGCGTTTGGCGCTAACTCTTAAGATGGAAAAATGCGTTGAATCGTGATTACAAAAACAACAATGGTCGTAGTTTTCAATTTACAAAATTCTCATTTATTGACTTTGTCCTTACCGGCAGAAGTCTTTCAGGTGAACGGCCAAAATCGGCCAGTGACAAATCTTCCAGTTGTCGATTTCATTCTCAGAGAAATGCTAACACCAAAGCCACTGAATACGCAACTTTCGGTTTTTCCTTTAGTATATAAGTTTTCTTCCCCTTCTAGGAAAGTTTGAACCTCACTGTCCGTCATCAATATGGATTTTTTAGTGTTTTAGCCACCGTAATTCGAGGAAGCTCCGACAAACAACTTGCACTGAGAATCGTGAAGAGTTTGCCGTTTATTCATCAACCTGACCGAGTGGCGCTAAAGGCGAGTGACGTGTAAGCAGCTGATTGACTATATCAACACACGTCAAAAAAATATCTTATTTTTTCACGTGTGTTGATATTTCCCAACAAAATGCCTCCAATCTCTTTTTGGTGACATTCCCAGAGTCTCTATTCTTTCCACCTCACTGGTACGAGATTGGAAGTTGAATGTCATGCGCAAGGACTCTTAACGCTAGCGGGGTAATTTGGATATAGTTGCAATGCGGAAATCCGTGATTGACGCTTGATCGTCTAACTTTTCATCTTCAACGTTAGACACCTTTATTTCCCCGTGCTGTATTAGTCACCGTGTGGTATATATCATATTCAAGGCTGGGAAAATTTTACTTTCTAATTTGACAATGTGAACTACTTTGTAAGATTTTCCTTGAAGTCAAGATCAAGTCAGGCGGATATTACCGAGCTCTTGCCGTCGCTAGTTCACGAGAAATCGAGTTGGGTCACACAACTTCACAGATATCACGATATCAAATCCATCTGCTTCTACAGTCAGACTTCAGCAAGGCACTAACATATGATTTAATTGTGTCGGATATAAAGTGTGCCATCAATAGCAAAGTTTGTATCATCAACTGCCGGTTAACGGTCCGTGTTTGTGTCTCTATCCAGTTGCGTGATTTTAGAACGTAGTTAATGATGGCTCGCAAATGAAGCAAATACTTATAATTCCTTTATACCTTTGAAGATTAAAATAACACGCATGGAGCAGACACGAAAGGTACAACCAAGTTCAGATATCGACCGTTTGAGCTTGAAAAGGAATAAACAGCGTTACCCTTAATGAGATGCAGTTCTAGAGAAGCTGCACTCAAGTTCTGGTTTGGGCAGGAATTTCGACGTCGGATTAGCCACAATTCGGAATCTGAAATTAGTCTTTTTATGTAAAATCATAACGTGTTTCTACCAGAACCAAAAGCAAATACCTACAGTTTTAGCCTAGTCCGAAGTCAACAAATTCACATTCCAAAATTAAGAATTAAGCAGGAGAGCCAGACACAGCCAATACCCAATTTTGCAGCTCCTCAAGCAGAGTTTCTAGCAGAACATTTGCAGGGAATTATGTGCAATGCAGTCTGTAGTTGGCAAAACTGAACCATAACTCTGCAGTAAATATAAAATGACAAGGCATTAAAAAAAAATTTGATAACACTAAACGAAAATGGAAACGGTTTTATCTAAAAAAAGAATTCCTCGCTTCTGCTGTCACAAATGCAAAATTTCCAAGAATTCACTATGCTCCTGTTACCACTCGGTATGTACTGCTAGTAAAGTGGTTCTTGATGAGGGTAAATGATCGCCGTAAAACGGCCAAATTTGTTTATCTCCGAAAAGTTTTTAGCGTGGATGTGGGCACGATTCAAAACGGCGACCATTTAGAAATGCCCTTGCACATCTTAAGAAATCAGTTATGAAATTAGTGTATGTGCGAGTAGCGGCACAAATGTTGAATTCCAACCAACGCATTTAAACGCACCAAAAATTCTTATCTTATAATTCCCGAGTTTTATCCCCAGGCCTTTGAAAATGTCTCGAAAAAGCAGTTCTCGCAAGGATATAAAAGGTGGAGGATGGAAAGGGGAACTTGTCTTCGAGCCTGGAATATCGACATCCTTTTATCTGACGCAGGGTTCCCTAATAGAGGAAATGAGCGAATTTAATGGGATTGACGAGTTCGAGGAACTTGAAAAAATTTGGCTATATAAAAGACCTCTGAAGAAAGGGCAACTTACCCAGTTTATTTTAAACCATCAGTTTGTCGTGATACGTTCGAAGCATTGGCATTGGTCCATCGAGAAACACTGTGACAAAATTCTCCTCCAAAGGAACAAAAGCTGTATCATGGTCAGAGAATACGAAGAGGGAATCCTCAGAAACACTCCAGTGGTCGAAATAAAACATGGTGGTAGCAAAGGATCTATGCAAGATTTGATCAAGTTTCTTTATCGCAAGGACGAGCTAAAGAAAGCATACCATTGGATGGAAGATAATTGTAAAGACTTAGCAAATCGAGTGTTTAATGAATTTGTGGTCGAAGGTTCAGTGGGTAGATCATGGCATATTTGGTGACATTGAAACTTTTAATGAATAGCCTCATAACAGGAATAACATTCTTTAGTGTCTAGTTTAAATGAACCTCTTTTGAACAACACTTTGAACCAACAGTATTCTTATCTTTAACTTGGTCTCTTAAAGATTGTAGGGGTCTTAGCTGCCACCGCATGACGATCTGCTGGTTGTGCCCCATCACCCACCCCCACCCCCATTGCAACGCTTCTTTGTCGTCGTTTTCGTGTCGTTACTTCAATAATTTTATCGACGTAACCAGCAGTTTAAAAACTAGCTTATATTTCATACTTTCATGTTGAAAAATAGCCGACTTTATTTTGAAGTTGTTTTTGTAAACGCCACTACGCACCTTTCCTGCCGTTCGACTTGATCATAAATGAGATCACGCGTAGCCCAGTATAGTGTCTTCGAAGTTGTCGTGAAATTCCACAGTAAGAGATTTCCCCATCGTTTTAATGATTTCATCTTTTGTCTATGTTTAAAATGCTAAAGTGAGAGAAGGACTAATGTAATAGTGTAGTTTGATCGTTCGGGTGAGTGTATTCCTGAGAAGGACTGTTGTTGGTAGTGGTGACTGACGTTTCGACAACCTGAGCGGAAGTCGTCATCAGAGTCAAGTGAATAGTTGTTGTCAGTCGAATGTTCTTAGTCCGGTTTGTATAAACTGATTGGTCAGTGATGTTATTAGCTGTAAGACTCAATGTTGCGATCGAGTCAGTAAACGTGCGCCAGATGCGAACGTAACAATCGAATGAAAGAAAATCCTCTAAGTGCGCGAGGTTTGAACGCAACAATCCAATTAAATAATCCTTAAAGTACAGGAGATACTAACGTAAAAATCCAATGAAATAGAAGCCTAAAAATTCATGAGATATTAACGAAACAATCGAATCAAAGAGAACCTTAAAGGTGAGCGAGATAAATACGTAACAATCAAAATGAAAGAGAATTCTAAATATGTGTATGATAATGACGTAACAATCCAAGTGCACGAGATAGATACCTGGAAATCGAACGGAAGAAAATTCTGAAAGTGCACGAGATATTTACGTAACAATTCAATGAAAGGAAAACCTAATGGTGTGCTAGATACTGATGTAACAATTTTAATGGTAGAGAATCTAAAAAATGCTACTACTGAACATTCATTACTCGTATTAAAAAGATATAAAGGTGACTTAATATTTATTTGACTCATTAAAATTTTATTTGAAACAACATGGAATGAAGTGTCCTTAAGAAGAAAAGAAAAAAATTTAATATTTTCTTGCATTACTCACAATTTGCGAAGATTGATAGAACTTCTTTCTTTTTTTTTTTTCATTTTCCCTTCCAGATTCCACTTACCATTCCCTATGCAAAATGCCTCCACCCTCTCTCTGGTGACATTCCCAAAGTCTCTATTCTTTCCATCCCACTGGAACGAAATTCAGCTAAAGTTGAATGTCACGAGCAGAAGCTCTTAATGCCAGCGGGGTAATTTGCATAGTTGCAATGCGGAAATCCTAGATTGAACTTTCACCATCTAACTTTTCATCTTCAACGCAAGGTACCTTTATGTCTTTGTGCTATATCAGTCATTTTCTCGTATACATCATATTCAAGGCTGGGAAAATTGACCTGTCTGATTTGTGTTACGGACTTGTACAGGGTGACATCGGGTCACGCGAAACAACGTTTGCGATCATGTGACTTAGCTTTGTCGTTTTGTTCGCTTTAAAATTAAAATCATTCTTTGTGTGGTTAATATTAACCTATGCAGGTTCTTAGACTCCATAAAGAACCAGCGATAAACCCCTTAAAAGGCGTCACCCTCTCTTATATGGTCACTCCGAACTGGATTATTTGTCGGTCCTAATTCTTGTTGTGTTAATCCTTGGACCGGACAATTCTTGTTTACGAGCACGTGGTGTGGATTCTTCATTTGTCCATGAGTTGATTATTTTAAAGGTGCATGTGATGTTACCCAGTAAATACCCATTTCAAGGAAAAAACTGGCGTGAAGGGCACAGAACAACCGTCAAACGTATTGCCATTGAACAACTGGATGCCTCCTAAAGCAACGTTAACTTGGACGAGAACAAACAAGCGTTTGCCCTCCTCGTGTCAAAGTTTTACCAGCAAAAGCAGTCCTTGCACGTCAAGTTGGAAACCCTAAAAGTTGTAGACGAAGAAATCTTGTCAATCGTGGAAGAAGAGTAAATTGAAGACGAAATTCGAGAAGCAGATCTCGTAAATGAATTAATTCAGCTTGCCATCGCTAGAATTGATAATTTTCTTGAAACCTTGAGGACCCCCGCAAACGGCATGGACGCATCAAAAAACGAGACACCGGTAAGCCCTTCTAAGGTTGTTACTAGTGACTTCTTATCGTCAAATGACTCTATTGAATCTCTGGTAAGCCTTCCTGTAGCTGTTGGAAATGTTGAACCCTCAAATAATCTTGTTTAAGCTTACCTACTCAAGAAATAGTTCCTCGATTTAAATTACCTTAACTGGACTTGAGAAAATTTGATGGAGAAGTTAGTTCGTGGCCCACTCTCTGGGATACTTTCGAGTCCTCTGTTCATAAGAATCCTTCATTGGCTCCTGTTGACAAGTTCAATCATTTGAACTCACTCCTTATGAAACCAGCTCTTGATACCATTTCTGGCCTGTCTCTCACTGCATCAAATTATGAAGAAGTAATTGCGATCCTTAGGAAGAGATTTGGAAACAAGCAACAAATCATCAATCGCCACATGGAAACTTTCCTCAATGTTAGCCCTGTGACTAATCAAGACGCAAGAAAGGGAATATGTGACATTTTAGAGTCTCATGTAGGAAGCCTTATGGGTGAGGGCAATATTGACATTGATATTCTTGTTGGGTCAGACCAGTATTGGAGTCTAGTGTCTGGCAGGGTGGTACGAGGGGAGCATGGCCCCATTGCAATTGAGACAAAACTTGGATGGGTTTTGTTAGGTCCAGTCCCAGAGGGAACACAAGTTAATAGGCAGCAAAGTAATATTGTCACAACACATGTACTGAAGAGTGCAGTTAAACCTGTTGATGTCACAAATGAGACCCTTGATGGAACTCTAAAACATTCTGGGAACTAGAATCACTTGGCATTAAACCAAGGTCGCTGTATGAAGAATTCCAAGAGCAGATATCCTTTACGAATGAGAGATATGAAGTCCATTTTCCTTGGAAAATGCCACATACCAGTTGAGCAGGAAATGTTTAGAGAACCTTCTTGAACGTCTCCACCACGAGCTTGAAGTCCCTAGAGAATATGACTCTTTCATAAAGGAACAGCTACATAGAGGCATAATTGAAGTTGTAGAAAAGCCTAGTGAAGGAGGCGTTGGTCAGGTCCACTACATACTGCATCATGCAGTCATAAGAAGGGACAAGTTAACAACTAAGCATAGAGTCGTTTTTGATGCTTCTGCATTTCTGATGGTGGGCATGGTAGAGGAAGATAGAGACGTGTTAAGATTCCCATGAGTGGATGCCATCGACAAACCTTCTCCAGAAATTGTGGTTCTAAGGTTTACACATGTTGTCTTCGGAGTCTAATTTAGTCCTTTCTTGTTAAATGCCACGATCAAGCAACACATTGAAAGGTACAAAGAAGCAGATCCTGAATTCGTAGAGATATTTCTTCGCTCGATTTATGTGGATGACCTAGGTTCTGGAGCCCCTGAGACTAATACAGGCTATGAACTTTATCTGAAGTCCAAACTCAGGCTTGCTGAAGGAGGATTCAACCTGAGGAGGAAGTTTGTATTAAATTTCCCTGAACTAACAAGCAGAATTCAATGTAATGATTCCAGAAACTCTGATGCCGGTACATTCAGAAAGGCTGCTGAACCCAAGAATGTACAGTTCCCTCGAGCCTGTCCAGAAAGGAATGTTGTTTCTGAAGACAAAACTTAAGAGCATGCCTGGCACAATAGAAAAAAAACCAGCTCAGACTCAAGGGTCCTTGAAGTACACTGGAACCCCATGAAGGACATACTGACATTTGATTTGGCTGAGATAGCGAACTATGCAACAGACCTTAAACCCACCAAGAGAAACGTTGTTAGTATTGCTGCAAAGTTCTACGACCCTTTTGGATCTCTGTCACCAATTATTATAGAGTTTAAGTTGTTCTTCCAAGAAGTTTGCCGAATGAAAATTGGTTGGGATAATCCCTTAAATGATGAATTGTTGAAGATGTTACGCAAAATGTTGGATTGGTTATAAGGTGTGACGACACTTTCGCTATCAAGATGCTACTTCCAAGGAGTTCAAGAGAGAGTTGTCATTTGTAGCCAACATGGATTCGGGGATGCACCCAGTAAGGCCTATACAGCAGTGATCTACCTGCGCGTGACTATCACCAAAGGAAGCTTAGTCAAGTTTGTTGCATCCAATTCCAGAGTTGCCCCTTGCGAAAGAATTGCGTATTGGACAGCACACATTTACTTGGAGAATGTTTTGCAGAAATCAGAGCTGAGGAAAGGGCAAACTGCCAAAGAGAAACCTCATCCGTAATTCTTGCAGCAGTTGAACCCTGCGGTGTAGAACGGATCATGAGAGCAGAAGACTATGGCAAACTGCAGAGATTTATAAGAGTTACAGTCTTTGTTCTAAAGTTTGGAAGAATCATGAAGTCATTGCTGAAAAAGGACACCCTTTTACCAGACAGGTTGACGGATCAAGATATTGCAGTCGGAGAACCCTTCGGATTAAGGAAATACAGAAGTCCTTCAGCAAGAATCCTAAGTTCGATATTTGGAAGAAGCAGTTTTGCAACTTCACCAATCATTAGAGCATTATGAGATGTACTGGACGCTTAGCTAAGGCGGAGTTACTAACCTCAGTCAAGCACCCCATTTTGTTGGAGAAAGACCACCACATCACATCATTAATTGTCAAAGACAGCCATAAACGAGTCATGCATGGTGGTGTGAAGAAGAAGAAGGAGTAACGAGTAGCTGATCAAGCTGCGAAATGCCCATCTTTACCTTAATCAGAATGAAGCTATCAAAACTATATCTCTTGGAGATGTAGTTGTTGTGCATGAAGAAGATCAGCCCAGAGGGAAGTGCGTGTAAGAAAGATTTTAGATCTCATCTTTGGATCTGCTGGTTGAACCAGGGGAGCCTCAGTTCAAGTCCGAAGCAAGGGAGGAAAATGCACGAAACTCATGCGCCCAGTACAGCGGGTTTACCCTTTAGAGATCCAGTGCGAAGTTCCTGTCCAACAAACAAACGAAGCAAGCTCAAGCCGGAATCCTGATCCAGTTAGCACTGAAGTGAGAACTGAGCAACCAGTGTCTACACGGAGCTGCCCAAAACGAGCAACTGCCGTTAAGGCTGACTGAAGGAAGGAAGGCTGGAGGATCTGAATTAATTAGCTTTGAACTTTTTTACGAATTATCGTTGAATTTAGGTTTCTCGATACTATGTAAGGGTCTGTTGACCAGATAGAATTAGGTAGCCAAATAGTAGTCTGGTTAATAGTGGGGGAGTGTTACGGACTCGTACAGCGTGACATCGAGTCACGTGAAACAACGTTTGCGATCATGCAACTTAGCGTTGTCGTTTTGTTCGTTTTAAAATTAAACTCCTTCTCTGTGTGGTTAATATTAACCTATGTGGGTTCTTAGACTCCATAAAGAACCAGCGATCAAGGTTTTCCTTGAAGTCAAGATCAAGTCAGTCGAATATTATCGAGAAGTCGCCGTCGCTAGTTCCCGAGAAATCGAGTTGGGTCAGAGAACTTCTCAGATATCACAATATCAAATCCATCTGCTTCTACAACAGACTTCAGCAATGTACTAACCTATATTTAATTCTGTCGGATACAACTGAAGTGTGACCTTAATTGTAAAGTTTGTATCATTCACTGGTTAATGATCAAAAGCTTCATTAAAGTCTATTGACACTGAATAACATTGATGTGCAGAATTTCAGTAACACTACTGATAATAATACTTTTCTTTTGGATTAACATGTGACACAGCGAAATCATTCAAACTGCTCTAAAATAGTGCATCACTACTAACGACTTTAAGACAAACGATAACATCAACAATAGCATGCTAGTTTATCATCAGTTGTAGTCAATTTCTTTTCCAAAAAGTTCTAATGATTACGTACCAATCGAGTTCATCCACTTGAACTTCCAGCCAAGCATGCCCACTTTGGACTG